TAAATTACAACATTTGTTGGTTCACAAAATGCTTCGCAACTTATTAAGTTTATAGTTGTTATAAAGTATACCCGTACAGCGCTTGCTGTAAACTGTGACCTTGAGGGGACGCGTGCGTCAAGTTTGTTCCAGACGTCAGAAGTTTCACAGCTGTGCCCTCAGAGCAAATTTCTGAAGAAGAAAAAAGAGAAACAGCAGAGCAGCAAGGCACTTGGATGTGAACTCCAAACGTTGCTTAACATTGTGTAATAGACAGACAGAGGTAATAATAAATTAGAATAAATTCATATTATCTCTTGTTAGAGTAAAATGAAGTCAGAGGCTCCATATTAGAGAATGTACTAATAAAGAACAATGAGTTGTGTCGTTTAACGCGTTGTAGTAAGCTCACATGAAGGAAAGGAAGTCAAGGCTGGTACAAGGAAAGCGGTTTATTAAAAAAGTGTGTATATAGAGGGTGAAGTGTTAAGAATACTAACGACTATATCTTTTGTTGTATAACTATTTTCCTTTTTTGTTTATCCGATGCCAGCCACACAATCCTAGTGTAAAAGTCCGAGTTAGTATGTCATAAGTTGTCTTAGTAGAATAGTGTTGGGATATTCAGGAAAATATCCCAAAAATTATCCTGTTAAGCCTAATGCTATCCTTGGACATGAAATGGTATCATCTTATTGGTCAATATTTATTTAACGTGTCATTTTCCTACTGGCCATTATTGTACAATGTTATTTTCTATTTTATGGTACGTTGTGGTCTGCTTGACTGGTATATAAACAAAGTATGTTTGAAATATAATGATTCATATATCCGAGGCTGAGACTTTCGTTCTGGACTCAATTGGCTGGGTTAGACAGGGAAGCGAGACCAATCAGAACCCTAGGTTGTTCTACGTGTTTGTGCGTCTTTGGTCCGATCAATAATTCGCTACCCTCAATCCGCAGCATACATTTTTCACGTTATAACAAATAGCTAATCCAGCATAATATTGGAAACGTGAGTCTGAGTGGTGAGCGTAGGAAAACAATCTATATCACAAAATTGATTGACTTATTCTCAGTCATAATGAGCCTGATACATACAAAATGTTCTGCCCCCACAAACACGGGTGGATTGAAGTTATCGCCCTCACCATCAATGCTTGCTGGTCAGTAACTCTATTCTAGCCGAAGCTTATTCTACATCATGTATTGGTGATTGTTACGATACGATGAGTTGGTGTAGACGATGGTATGACTTCTACGTAAGATCTTATGGATTAGGCAGTTATATCATGACAATTCTACAATTTTAGGATTAAGTCTATTATTAGCTCAGTACTACTATCATAGTAGACCATAATTCTACAAAGTTGCTGCTATCCGTTACCAGAATCACAGAAGAAACCGGATCTACTTAGTTATTATAGACGATTTATCTCAAACTGTGGGATAACATTGCAACCACCAATGGAATCCTTGCGAGGACATGCCCGAACATTCCAAATATCTACAAGGACTATGTAGTCACTCGAAAATGACTAATTAGAGCTAGACGAAAAGACGATGCTGGTTTCACGAAAAAGCAAAATGCCATTAGCCACCATGTCTGTTTCATCGAACATGGAAGTAGGAGCAGTTCAGAAACGCCACATGGAAACCACGTTCGTTTTCCTCAAAGTAATTGAATCTAGCTGTGATGAGGCACAGTACGTTCGAAAGAAAAGTGTTACAGATTTACCTGACAGTAAAGCACTTCCGATATATGGTAGAAGGTGCAGTTTTTGCTGTCTATATAGGTCATAATCCTTTGGTGAAAACATTAAACGCCAAGTGGGGTTGTAATACGCCAAGGAAAATTCAACAGTTAAAATTTATTTCCCAGTTTATTCAAGGCAATGTTAACGAAGTAGCAGATTCTTGATATAGAGTAACGAAAAGTGCATTAATGTCAGTTGAAGTCGGCTACCACAGTATGGCGATTCTGCACTGGATGGATATTGAATTAAGGAGACCAAGATCTGATAACACAACTTCTTTGGTATTCGTAGAAGTTCTGTTAGCCTGTGCAAAAGTAATGTGTGAGATATCTATGGGCCGACAGAATTATGGTGAAAGGTTTTCTAAATTAAGTAGAATATATCGTAACCATGAATAAAAGTCACGATCAAGTTTATGAGAGAGTATTTGGTACGGCCAAGCATGAATCGGGATGTTCTTAATTCGATACTGGCCTGCATGTAATGTCACTTTAATTTCCGTCGTCAAATTAGCTCTGTAGTGGGTGCCTTCGTCACCCCGACACTAAATTCGAGCGTACATACATCGAAAATTTGGGAGCTCCTCCAATTTCGTATGGTTTGCAACATATGTAGATTCACGCGAAGACGTGTAACGGTGCTAGTGAAGAACAGCTTGTAGAACTGTGGCATAGGTCGGTATAAGTGCACTTATCCACGCTAATAGAATAATGGACCCAATCCCAAAATTGTAGGCTTGCCGTGATGTTACTGCAGAGTCTATAAGATCTTGTGTGGAAATCAAACCATTTTCTATGCTAATACTCCTACAGTGATATGATGTTTCGCACTTCTGGAGGACGTTTGGGCTGAGGATAGCTTAATATATTTGATGTAAAAAGGAGGAAGTTACAAAGACTGACCACGTTTGCATGAGCGAGCCATACCATACAGATAAAGTGCTCTCGTGTTCACTATTTCTGAGCTTTTCTACGTGTTGAATGCTCAATCTAAATCTCTCCAGTCATCGTATGTTATGCTTCAAGGATCATATGATCGGAAACCAAAACCACCACAGGATATCTAAATTGGCTATTGGGAGCAAGAATGTAGCTTCATGCTAGGTCATGGGGTGGTTCGATGGCATTGTCTAACCACATCCTTCATGAGGGGCAACGTCAATGACAATATCATTTGTTCAAAAAACATTATTCCAGAGAATTATTTGTGATTGCACTTTCGGGTGAAGGTATTGACACAAACTTGTAATGGAAATTGTGGTTCGTTGCATTCAGAATCTAAAATGGCTTCCCCTTAATTTAATCCCAGATCCTGGATGTTAATTAGTTTCTATATCTCTTGAAACGAAATTTTGGAGTGGAGTATTTTAGTTTCCAGTGGTAAGGATGGTTGGTAGTTGGTCTGTGTTAAACTTTGTAGTTTGTCTTTCAGTGGTAATCCAGACTCACTTTAAAGGTGTTTACTGGTAGGACTGATACCACTTGTTCGGATAGAACGTTCCTTTTCGTTTACCACCTGACAGGAACAACGGGATCCCACCCTTGGTTTACTCGGTTGTGGGTTTTCAACCTTTTTTTGTGACTTCAGAGGTAATGTGTCCTGGAGGGAGCTAAAAGATAAGACATTAACACCTAGATAATCCAAGATTTGGAATGACAAAACGAGGTCACCTCGCGTTGTTTGATAACACAAGGGAAAAACATCCGGGCGTTTTCACCACCCATCTTATGACAGTTCAAAGAGAGCTTTCACTAACGTGGTTTCCACACGTAGAAAATACTCGAAAGTGTCGATTTGATAAACTTCCAGCGATAAAACCACTGTCGTTTTAAATGGACCATTGACTCCTTGGTGAGATGATGCATAACCCGCTCTTCAGAACGAGTCCTTTGGCACCTTATGGATTTTCCTGTCGATCTATGAAAGACGACGTAATAGCTCGCATGAAGTTAGCCATGGGATGGTATTCTTCGGATGTAGCTTTCCTCTTCAGTTGACCCATTTAAGCTGAGACAGTATAACCTCATATCCAGCCAGATATTAAGACGGAGCGAGAAAAGTGTGTACTATGTATTGTACTCAAATCCTAGAGTACAATACGATGTGACCGCTGCTTCCTGGTAGGGTTAGGAACCGAATATCCGCTATTTTGCCACAATAGTGAGTGGGGAAAGGGTTAAACAGTGAGGATTCTTGTTCTAAGGCAAAATGTGTCAGTTTTGTGACACACTGCCAAAGTTTGTGTCGAACCAACCACCATCTCAATATAAATATCAAAATGGCAACTGCAATAATGAATCATTGTATGTTGAGTTAATTAAGGATATACGAAACATAAATAAGTAAGTGAAAATGACTAGTTAGTCTTTAACTGTTAGATTCGGCTCATTTAATTAACTACTAAATCCACCATTTGTAGATGTTTGAACTACCTGCTTCTAAGATTGTCATAAACTGAGGCTTATAGTGTTTCTAAATGTTGTGTATAACTTTCATTAATAAATGTGGGTGCTCCAGCTGGGTCATCGACTCACCTTTTCTTTTTTTCTTCTCTTTACCAACTCTCCACAATCAGGCTTCTATGCATACTTCCCTAGTACACATGGTGCTTTCTGGCTATAAATTATAGTGTAATTATTGATTGTAAAATATACCAAATAGTCCCAGGTAATATTTAATGTATTATCTAGCAACGAGGATACATATATTGTCTGTTCATTCATGTGAAAACTTTTTTAATGGTCTATCGATATGGAAGCTGACTGGATGTCAACAGTGTATGAGCAACAAGGTATTTTGTGAACAACCAACAGTCTGTCGTTCAAACAGAGCTATTGTACTGGAAAAAGTTCAGAGTCAATATAAAAAACAATCTTTCACTCAGTAACCATAATTGTTCAAACTTGATGAAATGGTTGGTGTGAATGTATAATATTTGAATTATCGTATGAACGAATCCCAGAATTAACGCAATTGGATCAAGATTTACGACACAAGCACAAACGAACGTATTGTATTTGGAATTCGAAATCAAGCATTCAACAAGTACAAAAGAAACATCAGTTAATTCAAACACCACAGAATGGTTGCAGAAATTAACCATTTTCACAAATGTTCACCGTCATTTAACACCATACAAGGATACTTTTTGAGAAAGAAAACGACATCCGGGATATTTTCTAGCTTTGTTCAGTACCCATTTTAGTCATGGTACATATTCACAAATTATGGATTAAATAAGCTCGCGATAAGCAAGCGTCTTCTCAGATGTGTTCAAGGTCGGACAGGCGGTTGGTATTTTGAAATGTCGGTCCGAAGGTGTAGGGCCGTAAAATCATCTGGGTACAGCCTGGCACAACCGATAGATCCCGGAACGCTAATACAGGACTCATTAAAAAGGAGATGGGTCACGGGTTCTGCGATTGGTCAGGGTGGATTTGGACGTATATACTCAGGTAAATTTGGTTCTCGGCTTCTTAATAACTGACGCAGCCAAACTTGAAGGCGAAAAAAATTTTCGCTATGTCATTAAAATAGTAAGGATTTTGGCATTTCTAAAGTAATCTTCAGGAACCGCAAGAAAACGGGCCACTTTTTACGGAAATGCACTTTTACATGAGGGCATGTTCAGAAGACTCAAGTATGTTTTCCAAGTGTATTTTAATCAGGAGTATAAAAAATTGTTACTTTACTTCGTACTTGGGTTCAAACTATTGTTTTAGAAGGTAATTTTTTTGCTCTTCAAGCTGTACCTCGAAAATAATCCTTTGCCATTAGATGCACGATCAACATAACTATTGCTTGGCATACCATCATGTAAAATAACTTGTTAAATATGGGGATGCTCTCCTCGAAAGGTATCTTCCAATCATACAGACAAATTAGTCATAATAGAGAGGTGTTTAGGTACTTTATCCGAAAGTGTGTCCTGTTTCTTGATGCATCTCACTTTGCTACTAATTGTTTTTAGCTTCATAGTTGAAAATTGAAAGTTATGGGGTGTTCTGTTTCTAAAGTGACGTATTTTTTGAGAGCCATAGTACAAAAATGTCGGTTTGGGGGCAAAGTTTAGCATATACATACAGCTGTGACCATCACTACACCGTAGTGAATCTTGTTCACCATCACCGTCACATTTTTATGCAGTTATTCGGTTAGACTATGATTTATGGAAACCTTTAAGTGACTCTAAAGTAACCTTGAGAAGATTCGCTTGCTTATTACGGTCGACAGTTGAAAATTATTATGGGAAATCGAGATTAGGATTTAAAGATAGGGTTAGAAATTATGGTAATGGTTTCTAACATGAAATGACATCAGTTATGATGCAGAAACGCTACTTAACCATATGTATGCCAAAATCCTAAACTTTAGCGTTAGTTTTCTTGGTCTGTCCGTAAATTATGGTCTCCCGCTAGTTACTTGTTTTGGATGAATTCCCCGATATTCACATCACATTCAGTGTATCATATGCTTTCCATAGTTAATAAGCGTTTACTTACGATAGAATTCCCTTGTGGCTTTCTCTAAAATGCCGTTCGTGCGTTGTGCTTGAGAAGTGAAGTAATCCTGATAAATCTTACTACTGGTATGTAATATTAAATAAGTATAGCCTTATTCTGAAATTCCAAGACATCGGATATTACGACTTGCAAGAAACTAGCTTTGGAGGTTAATCCACGTGGTTCATAAATTTATGGAATGTAAACTTATTAAGCATTTATAGTTTCAAGAAATATTTCTTGTCCCTCATTATGTATCTGATTGTAACGAATATGAGATTCTTGGTATGTGCAAAAAGTCCGGTATCTGAAAGTCAGTTATTTCCACAATGTGTACACTTAAGATGTGATTGGTAGCAGATTTAAGTGCCTGGAGATTACTTTAGAGTATGGCCACAGTAGTGGTTTTGTTCACAAGGAATGGTTTGTTTGTTACGAATGAAATAATTCATTTGTTTTTACTACATCACTACCACCAATGGAAAGTGAGACGAACCTCCTTGATTGTGTTTTTTAGCACACCAAAAGTCCTTTTTTGCTACAAACAATCGTCTATCACCGTTGGGCACAGAATGCATATTATATTTGTTAGCATAGTAAACTGAGTATTTCAAGAATGATCCTCCCCAAGATTCGTACTCAGTTTGTCTCGTATTGTATTACTAGCACCACATTTCCTCTCCAGACGGGCATGGATAAGCTGAGAAAGCTTTTAAAACAGTATTCCAGTTGCTCTTCCTCTTCCTTAGACTCTAAATCTTTTAGGCGGATAATTTGCAAGCTTCATCGTTCTTCTTGTTGAGATAAACCAACGGATATTAAGAATCTGTTGAGATGTCCAAGCTAACTCCCTATCCGATAATGTATTATGTTTTGGATTACATTTTTATGACTTCCGTTGAACCTGATCCATATTTACATTCTAGTTTTTATACAATCTGGGTTTTTACTCAGCCATATTTCTGGATAAAGCAGTAGTTTTGAATGTACAGACAATAGATTTTTGGAATGTAATAGTACAATTAGATGAGTTACAGCTGTTCAAGCAGTAACCAATGGTATAAAGTCTGCTTGTGTTTGAAAAGTTAGGATACCAGTGTGATGCACCAACGTTGCGTATGAGCAACAGATTATTATCTACATAAGACTAGTGAAGACACAGTCCTGAAACAGGTTGTTTCTACCTACTGGGGCTCCTGAAAATGTGAACTCAGGTTAACAACTAGCATCGTAACTTCCTTACTAGATTTTATAGAGCATAAAATAACCTTAACACTTCTAAAGTTTATACGAAATGCTGAGGACTTAGTTAAGCTTATTTACTGTGTGTAATGTCCATTTTTTGAGCATTTATCTTGTAAATGACTGGTAAAAGTATCCGCGCTTCAATTGATTATAAGTATATATTTCTGTCCTTGTTGCAAACCGGTAGTATGTATGTATCAAAATGGACTTTTTACCTTGGATTCTTCGCTGACGAATTGGGTTGCTAATTTGAACAACTTGACTGCAGCCGGAAATCTACGGATTTGGATCTCTATAATTTTTTGGTCATATGGTATCTTTCGTCATCACAAGTATTTAAAATCTGGCAAATATGTTTACCTGACTGTTAAGGTGCTTCAGTTTGTTGCTTCCTTTGTAGGACTAGAAAAGTTAAGTGTTGTTTCAATTAAGTAGTGGGAACTGGTAACCAAATATAAGTTCTTATACTAGGATGTGGGTCATATTCGTTGCTCAAATTATTAATATTGCCAAACTGTTTGATTTGAAGTAAAGTGTTTTTATATCCGTAACCCAGTGATCAAAAGTAATAGACGTATCAACATGTCCCGGTTTCACTTTCAATCTTTATCCTGTTATCATAGTATTTAATGGCGATAGTTTTGTCTTTATAAATGGGAATCGTTTCAGTGAATCTGTGACCCAAATAACGTTATGCGTTTACAGTTAGTAAGATCCATAAAAAATGTCTATCACTGTTCAGGCGTTTTATTTCGTAAACTCATCAATCAATCCGGTTGGTTTCGAATACATATTTGTATTTTAAAATGTTCTCTCCTATTTAAGATTTAAGCATACTCATATTTAGTAACGTTTACCTGTTTTTTTTTTCACACGGTTAATATAAAAGTCAATTCATGGAAAGTAAAACACTCCCTCAAATACCTTGGTATTCCGAGGTATATAAGCAGTGGATCAATCAATTTAAACAAGGCAGCTCTCCGATTTCTTGTAATGGATCGGTTTTCTGGAGATTTGGAAACTACACTAAAAAATAATGAAATATCCACATCTGGTATTCTAGAAGCCTGTGCAAATGTGGTGAGTATTTTGACCATAAAGCTGCGTGTCATTTAGCTTTTAAAAGATTTTATTGTATACTGCGTATACTACAAACCTTTATTTGTATGTCTTCTGACTGGATAAAATGACGCAGGGCTCGGGAGTTTATTATTTTTATTTAAAGCATCTCACTTTGAGACAGCATATTGAAGAAGTCAGCGTGGTAGAGGAATAACATTTTGATATGGTACTGACTACTGTATTTTTCATCAATAACCAGTTTTAAAAATCGTGCTTTCATAATAATTCTATCATATCGTGCTGGGTGAAAAATGAATAGAACCAGCCGTTCATGTAAACACAAGTTGTAGAGTAAGATATATACTTAAAATTAAAGTGAGAAAGAGATTAGACCAAGCGGAGTTGGGAACGCACCCAGATATAAGATGATATAAAGTTCAGACTGATCAAAATAATGTAGTCACCGACATTGAAGCAGATAATTGTTTGAGAAAAAGCACTCTCTAGGCCGTATAACAGTATTAAGGACTGGATTTCCTGATTAGCCGCTGACTAGAGTAAATGTATCTCTAACTTGTTTCTACAAGGTTATGGAGTCGATGTAAACTAGTGGTTTGGATTCAGAATTATCTAACTACCCTAGGCAGATTCTCCTCTTATCCGCTTTAGGCGTTGAGCGTTTGATTCCACCCTTACTTCTTATAGAAGCACTACGTGAAGATATTGAGTAAAATTTACCCTGAAGAGGTCATATATTTGAAATTGCATTTGTGTCAACCTTCCACATAGTTCAGGGTATTGAAATTATTTGCATAATTCATTACATTAGCCTTCGTTTTTCCTAACAGCGTTTTTGTATTGGTAGTTTATCTAGTTCATAATCTTTAAAACGTTTTAGTTAAATGCGTTGGAATATTTGCATTCAAGGGACTATGCGCATGCAGATATCAAAGCATCAAATCTTCTTCATAGAACGTCGCAACAGGAGGTTAGTTTTGGATAGTTAATTAATTGTGTAGATAATTAATTTTGAAATTTCTTTATATAACTGACCTCTTCACGTTTGCAACTGTAAACATCCTTTTTAAATTCATGTGAGATATGCATTGGTTTACATCACTTATTTTCTCCGCAAGTTGTTTTGACCTACTCTATGTTACGCGATTGGAAAAATGTTAACGCAAGACCTAGTGAACTCATTGCAATTACTTTGTAACACTATATTCTCGAAATTCTTGACTCTAGCCGCTTAGTTCTTGCTAAGACAAACCTTTCATGAGACTGAAGAATATATTTTATACAAAGTACCATCTTCTACATAATTTCTCTTTTCGGTAATTGTTTATTACATTCAACTAATTACTAGCTTAAAAACGAATTTCTCAATGAACAGATGTCAAAATTGAATAGACACATAACAGAAATCACAGTACAATGCATACTGAAGTAACTAATAGCTGAGTTTATCGAAATCTAATCTAATATTAAACCGAACTATTATCATATTGAACTGATCAAGCAATCATACTTTCTAACACTTTATTAGTTGCCCTGAAGAAATCCCACATCATTTCACGGAGGACTTAATATGGCTAGTCAGAATCAGCTCTAAAATCTAGTCCTTATTTTATTAGCTGATGAGTAACTTACAAATGTTATATTCTCCAAACATTTTATATTTGATCATGTGCATATTTGTAACTAATATTTTGGATATGAACATGTTATTTTACCGAAAAAATCCTTTTTTTTTAACAGAATGACAATGTCCTTCTTGTACATTCTATGATTTGAGTCGCTAATCTGGTCTCATTAGTAGTTATCGCTTGGTCACCTAGTATTATTGAACATTATCTACTGATCAGCATCCTGTTTATTCTTTTTAACAACCTTGTGAAGGTGAATCATCACAATTCACTAAAAACTATTTCTCCGTAACAGTTGTCGAAAGTGTTTCAGAATAGAAGTGAACAAAGATCCTACTACAGTGTTCTTAACTGCGATCGGCGGTCGATGTTAGGTGGCATGACTAAAAATGGGCTACAATGGTGCAAATATATTTATTTTCTATCTTGTTTTAGATCTTAAGATTCAGTATTCTTTCGTAGATACATTTGCATTCTGTCTTTCCATTTGGTCTTTCTCACTATTATTTCTAACTTTACTTTGATATTCATTTTATTTTCATCTCTTCGTGTTATTTTAGGATTGGGTAGTGGACATGTGCATCAGGTTCTACGTTTATAACTGACACTTTACATTTTCCCACTATCTTATCAACCGTAAAATATGTATCTTCAAAATGAATAAAATCTTTCCCGGTTGTGGCGAGACCATAATTTTTATAATCTCACTGAAGATTATAGTTAATAGATCAACCAATCAGACTTAAGATAGTAGTGTTTTTTAGAATTTTGTGCAAAGTTCGTTCATTCATATGGCCACAAAGCATATTTGGATTATTGCTAGTGTCAGTTAGTATTCCTAGTCCTAACTGATGATCCCCAACACTAATTCTTAGCCCTATTTTGAGCCTAGTAAGTGGTTGAAATTTTTCAAGGCCATCTTAAAATGTGTCAAAGGTCTCCCATAAATTATAATCTCACCGAATTTTTGTTTGTCCTCAATAAAATTAGAAATGAAAACATACTTGATCATTCCAAACTCGTTTTAAAAAAAATTAATTTCAGGTTTATTTAGCTGACTTTGGTCTAGTTCACTTATTTCGTTCAAAAGGTGTACATACTGCTGAAAAGGCAGATCCAAAATTTCGTCACAATGGAACAATAGAATTTTGTTCAAGAGATGCACATAATGGTTGGTATATTCAGAAGAATATTATATTTTTGCATTTATTTGTTATTTTAAATGATTTTTTTACTCACATATTGTGCTGATGTTTTTTTTAGAATAAAAGTTTCAATACTTTTCTCAGTTGTAAAATGTAGATACAACTCGAAATATAATGTGTATTTGTATTAAGTTTTTTTTATAAGCTAGAAAAATTACCCATCTAGTTATATTTGCTGAATTATTGGAAAGTCGTAGCATTGAGTAGTAGCAATAATTATTGTCTTCTTGTATGGTTGTTTCTAGTTATTCCTCTTCACTCCGTTGAATTGTAGTTGGAGATTATTTTACGTATAGGGTATTGAGTGTTAAAGTATAACTCAACAATGTTTGGATGTTCTGTGAGTATTATCGGGACATTGATTTCTGAATGTATATTACCTATTTTATACTTCTGATAAATCTTATTATTGGTTGTTTGAATATGAAACATTAAACAATGAGCCCTTAATCAACCTTAATTTTATGGAGCCGTTTTCCATACACTTAGTCAATTCAATCTACGCGGATCGGCCTAACTGATTAGTTAAGCCCCTCTGAAATTCAAGTTCATGTCATTTTGGTGTAGTTTTTGTACACTAATAGGAAATAGTCTGATTATATTTGTTCGAGGAGAGTTTTTTTACATTTTTATGTCCTAGATCCCACGTTCTGTTGTGCTTTGGGTTGTTTTTTCTTCCAAAGTTAACTGGATTCTTCAAAGCTTTGATTCTTACCGTGCATTATGATATCAGTTGTTCTCTTAGCAGTTCTACATGTCTACCAGTGTATTTGTCACCATGTATGTTTTTCTTAGTCTTATATTTTGTTTATTATCTTAAGTAACAATTGAAAAGTAGGCAGATGTATAGGTTGCATCCAGTGTATTTCACGCTGAATTAGTATGTATGTCTAATGTTAAATGCATTTTGTTGGATAAATTATTATTTTCTTACCGTGAAGTGCTACTTGTCTTTTTTATTTGTAGGACTTCCACCATCTCGTAGAGGAGATTTGGAAATTTTGGTTTACAATCTCATTCATTGGTTAGCTAGATCTCATCCAAATGCCCCTCAATTGCATTCGACAGGTCTTCCTTGGGGACATCTCATATCAGGTATTTCATCTATAATGCAGTCGTGATTTAATGTGAATTGCTTTATACACTCGCTAAATACACGCTTATATTTATATCCCTTCAAAAAAATCTTTGATCGAATACTAGTAACGCACACATCTAACCTCATTGAACATGTTTTTACAGTTGTAAATTTGAAATACAATGATCTTGATTTTTAATAGGTTGTCAAACAGATCTAATGACGTATTGACGAACCAGCTACCTAGAGAGGAAGACAGTTAAGGATTCGTGTCTGTTCTGATATCAAGCATCAGTAATTTTTGATCTATCAAGGTTGATACTTATTTAAGGAAAATTATTTATTTTATTTATTTAAACACATAAACATAGGTACAAAAAGGCCACATAAATCACTCGATTTGTGTGAGGGCTAGGATACTGACCGGGTGCACAAGCCGAAACAGGTGGTTTTCTTAGGGAGCCATGTCCCGAGCCATTGACCTAAAGGTCTAATCCACAAGGGAATGGAGCAACGTCAGGAGATGCAGTCCCATAGTAGCCGGTGACCAACGATTGGTTCATACGCCATTTGTTCCCTCAGGATAATGGAGCCCATGTGCACCGTTGGTTTGGAATCAGGGTTTTCCAACCCCCCTAAGTGGACTCTCCATGTCCACCAACCCGGTTAAAGTACCAGAGTTTCTCTTTTCGTCTTCTCAATTTCGTAAACAATACCCCCGCCACGAGAAGGCAGTAAGTAGGACTTCCCTGGCAGAGGCTATATAGGCGTGGCCATGTGAGAGCATTTCGAGAGGGATAGTTGACTCTCCCCACTCTCGGCCGTAGCAGGGCATTTAGGGGTTGGAAACAAACGACACATTAAAGTTTTGTTTCGTCTTAACCCATTGAAGATCTTAGTGATTTATAAGAAGAATCCGTGTCGCATGAGAAAATGCGATGACAATGTTTCTGTTTATCATGAATGGATTTGGTTTTAAATATATACTGACCATTAATTTCAGGGTAGAATAACCAGTCATAACATGATTTTCGTAAGACTGCACGGAATAATAAAACAGTCGTTTGTTGCTCATTCAGTCCCCGACCTTTGTTGCTACCTTGACGTGGTGGTCAGACTTGCCTATCGTGATGAAGCAACCGAGCTATACTGGCTGGAACAACCGTTCCTCAAGGTCCTACCATATCAGACAGGTCGGTTGAAGAGCGGTAAGACTAAAAGCAACAAACCCAAGGTTCGAAGGCGAAGTCGTATTGCTGACTGTACAGAGGTGTGACAGCAGTAAGGTGTTTACTTCAGATAACCAGCATAACAACGATGCTGCCTTCCGACAAGGAGGGGTGGAGTTAGAAAAGGTCGACCCTAAAAATGCACACCTCACCTTACCTCACGGATTTCCGTCTCCGGCGGTAAGGCCCTTTGAAGAACGGAGCTAACACGTCAAAACCTCTCACGAAAAGGCCGTGCGCGACCGGCCTCGAGCGGTTGTCCCTTGGGCACTGCGGTCACGCTCTCAGGTCACTGAGACCACCTCTAATCCAATTTCCTTTTCAGGTACCTCCAGAAGAACCCTTCCTCGGTGTGGGCAACCGGGAAGTGATAACCGCCCTCATACCTCTAACAGCACTCAAGACCACTGTATTCATAATCAATCTCCCTCTTCAATTCCTATTATTCCTCCTACATCGACTTTCAACTCTAAACTTCCTCTTTCGGCTTCCTCTTCAAATGTCACCATAGCCAACGATTCTAGTGCACGAAACATTGTCTCAGGTCTACTGAAACCTCGCTCCAAACTACACATTGGAGCTTTCAACGAACGCACCCTATGTCAAATCGGTCAGCAGGCTTCTTTGGCTAAAACCCTAGAGTCTCTTTCCATTGATGTGTGCTGTGTCATTCACTTGACCTCACCTCGGCAAAACAGAGAGCCAACGAGATACATCCTCCGTGTATCTGGTGACCCGATGGCCAGTTCTCGTGGACTGGCAGGTGTAGGCATAGCACTAAGCATGAGGGCGGAACAAGCACTGCTAGAGTGGATCCCCGTTAACAGTCGTCTATGTGCTGTTCGGTTAAACGGCTCCGTAAGAACTCGGAAGGATAGGGTCACACGTTGTTGCCTTTTCGTCGTTTCTGCCTACGCTCCCACTGACTGCAGCTCAGATGATGTGAAAGATGAATTTTACAGAAAGCTTTCTGAACTTCTTCAGAAAGCTAAACGCTCAGACGTAGTACTCATAGGGGGTGACTTTAATGCCCAGATAGGTAGCTTAAACCAAACAGAACGGCATTTAGGTGGATATTTTAGTATTCCGGCACAGCGAACAGATAATGGTGATCGTCTGCTGCAACTGTGCTCAGACAATCGTTTATTTTTAGCAAACACTAATTTTAAGTATAAGGAGAGACATCATTTGACATGGCGACCCCTTACAACAAACCAACGATGGACTCAAATAGACCATATTGCCATCAGTCACCGTTGGAGAGGGTCGATAGAAGATTATCACCCATTCTGGAGTACCTACTTGAACTCCGGTCATGCCCTGTTACGGGCACGCATCTGCTTGCGCCTCACTGGACGCAAAAAAGCCACAGTAAGAGGACCCATTAGAACTGAATTGAGTAGCGAGCAAATCAAAAGTAGGTTCTAGGAACAACTGAGGTCACGATTAGGTAGTTCTGAAAACGAGGTTGACCCAGTTGTTGCTTGGAAAGCCATACAAACAGCTGTGGAAACAGCAGTGACATCTACTAGTGATTTAAACCACAGGGTTACAAAGAACCAATGGATTTCCTCAAGGTCTATTGCACTGATGGATTCTCGTAAACCCATTCTATCAGACTCTGAACACGATGAAGAGCGACAACAAATCAGATCTAGGTTAAGAAAAAGTCTAAGAAACGACCGTGAGCAGTGGTGGGCATCGGAAACAAAAGAGATGGAAAAGGCGGCGACTATAGAGAACACAAGACAGCTTTACAGACTAATAAAAGAAACTCGAATTATTAAGTCAAGTGTAAGTGAGATTATATCAGAAAAAGACGATACTCTCATCTGCTCCCAGTCCAGACGTTTAGAACGATGGGCGGAACATTTTAGAGCACAGTTCAGCTGGCCTTCAGCTACTCTACAACTACCCTCCATTTCAAAACAGTGTGAATGAAACATTGAAGTAGGTCCCCCAACTCTTGCTGAAGTTCAAAAGTCTATAGTTAATCTGAAGCGAGGAAGGGCAGCTGGTCCAGATGGACTGGCTCCAGAGGTCTTTAAGGATGGTGGTTCAATTTTAGCGATTAGGTTGACTAATATTTTAGCTAAGATCTGGGAGTTGGACGTTATCCCATCTAACTGGTCACAATCACTTATCGTCCCAATGTATAAGAGAGGGTCAAAATCATCCTGTGACAACCATGGAGGGATTAGTTTAACTAATATAGCATCTAAAATACTAGCTTCGATAATTATCGGATGCATAACTAAGACTCGTGAACTGCAAACACGAGAGACTCAAGCTGGCTTCAGAACTGGTCGTGGCTGCATCGACTACATATTCACCATTCGTCAGATTCTAGAACACAGGCATGCTTATCGGCGTCCGACAATGGTGGTCTTTCTCGACCTAAAAGCAGCATTTGACTCTGTAGACCGCGAGATTCTGTGGTAGTGTCTGTCATTGAAAGGCGTACCACAGAAGTTCATAAACCTTGTGAAGGTTCTTTACTCTAACAATACTAGTCGAGTCAGAGCTTATGGCGAACTGTCATCTGCTTTTGCAACCTCAAATGGTGTCCGTCAAGGATGTCCACTATCTCCATTTCTGTTTAACTTCATCATAGATCTACTGATGGAAATCTTTCTCGTCGACTGAGTTCTTAGGTATTGATCTCCTACCAGGAGGTCCACTTATCGACTTAGAATACGCAGATGACATAGTCCTGTTTGGTAAAGAGGCTGACAAAATGCAGAGTCTTTTGGTAGCACTGAGAAACAATGCCAGAATGTTTGGGATGCCCTTCTCTCCCTCTAAATGCAAGTTGTTGTTTCAGGACTGGTCTGCGTCAACACCTGAACTAAGGATAGGGAGTGAAGTAGTCGAACGCGTTGGCAACTTCACTTATCTTGGAAGTCTGATCAGCCCCAATGGGTTGGTGTCTGACGAAATCTTAGCATGGCTTCGAAAAACTCGTTCGGTTTTCGCCAACTTACGTCACTTCTGGCAAAGGTGAGATATCCGTCTATCAATAAAAGGACGAGTATACTGCACGGCAGTTCGTTCTGTTTTACCTTACGGCTGCGAAACATGGTCATTAAGAGCCGAAGATACTCGTAAGCTACTAGTATTTGACCACAGATGCCTTAGAAATATTGCTAGCATCTGCTGCAATCACCGGCTAAGTAATAGTGAAGTTAGACACAGGATATTAGGGAATGATGGTAAATCAGTTGATGCGGTTGTGAGTCTTCATCGACTGAGATCGTTGGACCAAGTGTTGCGTATGCCTGAACACCGGATTACCATGACGCTCAGTGCTGACTAGTGTTAGAAATGGTTGGAAGAAAGTTAGGGGCAGCCAAACCAAAACGTGGCATCAGTGCTTGAAGTCACTAACCTCTAGTCTGTGTCATGTTGGTAGATGCAGACTACTTGGTTGGGGTCCGCGTGACTTTCGTAACCAATGGTTGGAGACTTAGGGTGATACAGCTCAGAATCGATCACAATGGCGTAGGTGTGTACTCTTTCGGTCTTCCTTTAAACCGTGAGATTAAAATCACTTCATATCTTTTTTTCTACGAACTAATTCTTTCTTCCTGTACTATGTCCTTACATGCAATCTTTCTTTTATATATTACCACCATTGAATTAACTACTTTTATGAATCCGGTGTTTATTTTGCTGTGTTAATGAGGTATGGCAACCTGGACCGATGCATATATGTGCCTGATCCTACGTTGTAGCTGACTGGCTGACTGCTTATTCAGTCAGCCGCATCATGAAACAAAATGTACGTATGCACATTGGTTCAAGTTGCCATACACCAATAGAATGGAGAAATGAAATTGTCAGGCAACATTTAAGAGCAATATAGGTATTAACAGTTTTAGTAGTGACAGAAATGTCTAAGCTTTGAAGGTTGCGACTCAAAAAATATAAATTAGTGAAATAAAGACAATGAAAGTTATGGGGAATTCAGAAGCCTTAAATTTGAAGGAAGATAAAGAATGGATACACTTCCGCCGTTGCAAACGATTTCGAGCCATGTCGTTTAAAGTCTCTAACCATTGGTTACGATAATCATACGGACTCCAACCATGTAGTCTACGCCATTCGTCAATGATTACATGGACTGGTGCCATGTTTTGGTTTGGCCAACCCTAGCTTTCTTCAAACATACTCCTACACCAGACAAGATCACCCGTCAAAGTAGTCGGTGGTTTGGCATATATATTACGTGTCTTAGTCACCTCATTTGATGAATATTTAATACCTCACAATCGATTTGCTATCTTTACCCAGTACTCTATTCCTAATTCAGGCACTGCTTACTCAGTGGTCCCAAAATACACGAAAAATTGTTTGAAGATGTCTGTGATTGAATACTAGTAATCTGCGAATCTCCTCTATTTTTAGTGGCCGTTTTTCACACCTATAAAGTAGAACGAAGCGAACTACTGCTCAGCAAACCATTAATTGCTGCCTGATTTCTAACCAGTTATTCAACTGATATTTATCCATTCCCAAAATGCTTGCCATAAATGATGAAGTCACGAAAACTACTAACACAATATAAAAATATTTGAAATAATGCATCTTTTATGGTATTATCCAGTATCTATCATGTTAAATAATAGGACAGTATTTTTATTCTAACCTCCCCACTCACCTTTTTATGTAGATCCAAAACTGCGTGCAAATGTCCCTGATCGTGTGAAAGTGGCTGTGGCTACCTTAAAAGAGAAAACAATGAGAAACCCTGCTGAATTGGTATCACAAGCTGGTTACGGACCTAATCCTGGTTGGTTTTAATATTTGTATTTTTCTATTTACTTACTACATTTGGTAACATTTTCTCAGAAGGTTAATCAATCAGTCGTGATCAAAAATGCTTTTAAGCTTGCCGCCTACATATGTCTTCTACTTTTGTAAACTATGTTTCAGAGTCTTAGAATAATGCAACGCAGACTATTGTGAACTATATTCGCTCTTTACTTGGTAAACGGATATCTCACCTATACTACAAGTGACGTATGCTGGTTGAGCGAAGGGCGCCTTAAGAATCCGTGTTGATATTTCATTAGGCACTACCCTAGCAGGGCTGATTAAACTTTCAAATTGAATGGGATAGTTGATTCAATCAATCACTTCACTCCTTATGACCAATCTAGGGGATAATGCAGACCATTCCTGAAACAATATTTTACATTTAGACGGAGTGAAACACACCATAAACGTACTTGTATTGTTATTCAGGGCGATCGAAGGACTAAATTATATCATCATCACCAAAATGGACTATTTCATCTGCTTATTCACAGTCGATAAATGGTCCTTCCTGTAGACCAATTCTCGAAATTATCTTATGAAACATTATTTGGTATAGAAAAACGTTTTCTTTATTTTGTTACTGTACAAAAATATCTGTACATTCTTAAACACCATAAATTGCTATCGACTATCCTAAGTGATTTAAGATCTGTGATTACAACCGGAACAATTTGAAACAGTGGCTAACAAGATATACGTTATTCCAAGTTTTTACATTTTGAAATAGTGTATGGGCATTCAAGACTAACAACACAAATCATTTATTGATAAAAAAGATATGACAAGAGGCAAAATGAATAAGTTCTCAGTGTATTCAGATATAGTCGCTCTATCAAATGTCTATTCAACTTGTAGCTAAAGGTACTATTAGTGTCCGCTTCACCGGTTCATACTCAGAGACTGGTTCAAACGCAGTCTTGTATATGAATAACGAGTATATATACAAAGCCTTACAAAAATTATAATGCTAATAATATCGACATTAATGTTTGTTTATGTTTATGTTGTTATTGCGACCTGATCGTAACTGATCCAATCTAGCTATGTTGAGTGGAACATTCATACCTTCAGGTCATACTATACCAAGCAGTTTTGTTCGTTGTTGCTACCTTGACGTGGTGGTCAGACTTGCCTATCGTGATGAAGCAACCGAGCTATACTGGCTGGAACAACCGTTCCTCAAGGTCCTACCATATCAGACAGGTCGGTTGAAGAGCGGTAAGACTAAAAGCAACAAACCCAAGGTTCGAAGGCGAAGTCGTATTGCTGACTGTACAGAGGTGTGACAGCAGTAAGGTGTTTACTTCAGATAACCAGCATAACAACGATGCTGCCTTCCGACAAGGAGGGGTGGAGTTAGAAAAGGTCGACCCTAAAAATGCACACCTCACCTTACCTCACGGATTTCCGTCTCCGGCGGTAAGGCCCTTTGAAGAACGGAGCTAACACGTCAAAACCTCCCACGAAAAGGCCGTGCGCGACCGGCCTCAAGCGGTTGTCCCTTGGGCACTGCGGTCACGCTCTCAGGTCACTGAGACCACCTCTAATCCAATTTCCTTTTCAGGTACCTCCAGAAGAACCCTTCCTCGGTGTGGGCAACCGGGAAGTGATAACCGCCCTCATACCTCTAACAGCACTCAAGACCACTGTATTCATAATCAATCTCCCTCTTCAATTCCTATTATTCCTCCTACATCGACTTTCAACTCTAAACTTCCTCTTTCGGCTTCCTCCTCAAATGTCACCATAGCCAACGATTCTAGTGCACGAAACATTGTCTCAGGTCTACTGAAACCTCGCTCCAAACTACACATTGGAGCTTTCAACGAACGCACCCTATGTCAAATCGGTCAGCAGGCTTCTTTGGCTAAAACCCTAGAGTCTCTTTCCATTGATGTGTGCTGTGTCATTCACTTGACCTCACCTCGGCAAAACAGAGAGCCAACGAGATACATCCTCCGTGTATCTGGTGACCCGATGGCCAGTTCTCGTGGACTGGCAGGTGTAGGCATAGCACTAAGCATGAGGGCGGAACAAGCACTGCTAGAGTGGATCCCCGTTAACAGTCGTCTATGTGCTGTTCGGTTAAACGGCTCCGTAAGAACTCGGAAGGATAGGGTCACACGTTGTTGCCTTTTCGTCGTTTCTGCCTACGCTCCCACTGACTGCAGCTCAGATGATGTGAAAGATGAATTTTACAGAAAGCTTTCTGAACTTCTTCAGAAAGCTAAACGCTCAGACGTAGTACTCATAGGGGGTGACTTTAATGCCCAGATAGGTAGCTTAAACCAAACAGAACGGCATTTAGGTGGATATTTTAGTATTCCGGCACAGCGAACAGATAATGGTGATCGTCTGCTGCAACTGTGCTCAGACAATCGTTTATTTTTAGCAAACACTAATTTTAAGTATAAGGAGAGACATCATTTGACATGGCGACCCCTTACAACAAACCAACGATGGACTCAAATAGACCATATTGCCATCAGTCATCGTTGGAGAGGGTCGATAGAAGATTATCACCCATTCTGGAGTACCTACTTGAACTCCGGTCATGCCCTGTTACGGGCACGCATCTGCTTGCGCCTCACTGGACGCAAAAAAGCCACAGTAAGAGGACCCATTAGAACTGAATTGAGTAGCGAGCAAATCAAAAGTAGGTTCTAGGAACAACTGAGGTCACGATTAGGTAGTTCTGAAAACGAGGTTGACCCAGTTGTTGTTTGGAAAGCCATACAAACAGCTGTGGAAACAGCAGTGACATCTACTAGTGATTTAAACCACAGGGTTACAAAGAACCAATGGATTTCCTCAAGGTCTATTGCACTGATGGATTCTCGTATACTCATCTCATCACACTCTGAACACGACGAAGAGCGTAAACAAATCAGATCTAGGTTAAGAAAAAGTCTAAGAAACGACCGTGAGCAGTGGTGGGCATCGGAAACAAAAGAGATGGAAAAGGCGGCGACTATAGAGAACACAAGACAGCTTTACAGACTAATAAAAGAAACTGGAATTAATAAGTCAAGTGTAAGTGAGACTATTTCGGAAAAAGATGACACTCTCATCTGATCTCAGTCCAGACGTTTAGAACGATGGGCGGAACATTTTAGGGAACAGTTCAGCTGGCCTTCAGCTACTCTACAACTACCCTCCATTTCAAAACAGTGTGAATGAAACATCGAAGTAGGTCCCCCAACTCTTGCTGAAGTTCAAAAGTCTATAGTTAATCTGAAGCGAGGAAGGGCAGCTGGTCCAGATGGACTGGCTCCAGAGGTCTTTAAGGATGGTGGTTCAATTTTAGCGATTAGGTTGACTAATATTTTAGCTAAGATCTGGGAGTTGGACGTTATCCCATCTAACTGGTCACAATCACTTATCGTCCCAATGTATAAGAGAGGGTCAAAATCATCCTGTGACAACCATGGAGGGATTAGTTTAACTAATATAGCATCTAAAATACTAGCTTCGATAATTATCGGATGCATAACTAAGACTCGTGAACTGCAAACACGAGAGACTCAAGCTGGCTTCAGAACTGGTCGTGGCTGCATCGACTACATATTCACCATTCGTCAGATTCTAGAACACAGGCATGCTTATCGGCGTCCGACAATGGTGGTCTTTCTCGACCTAAAAGCAGCATTTGACTCTGTAAACCGCGAGATTCTGTGGTAGTGTCTGTCATTGAAAGGCGTACCACAGAAGTTCATAAACCTTGTGAAGGTTCTTTACTCTAACAATACTAGTCGAGTCAGAGCTTATGGCGAACTGTCATCTGCTTTTGCAACCTCAAATGGTGTCCGTCAAGGATGTCCACTATCTCCATTTCTGTTTAACTTCATCATAGATCTACTGATGGAAATCTTTCTCGTCGACTGAGTTCTTAGGTATTGATCTCCTACCAGGAGGTCCACTTATCGACTTAGAATACGCAGATGACATAGTCCTGTTTGGTAAAGAGGCTGACAAAATGCAGAGTCTTTTGGTAGCACTGAGAAACAATGCCAGAATGTTTGGGATGCCCTTCTCTCCCTCTAAATGCAAGTTGTTGTTTCAGGACTGGTCTGCGTCAACACCTGAACTAAGGATAGGGAGTGAAGTAGTCGAACGCGTTGGCAACTTCACTTATCTTGGAAGTCTGATCAGCCCCAATGGGTTGGTGTCTGACGAAATCTTAGCATGGCTTCGAAAAACTCGTTCGGTTTTCGCCAACTTACGTCACTTCTGGCAAAGGTGAGATATCCGTCTATCAATAAAAGGACGAGTATACTGCACGGCAGTTCGTTCTGTTTTACCTTACGGCTGCGAAACATGGTCATTAAGAGCCGAAGATACTCGTAAGCTACTAGTATTTGACCACAGATGCCTTAGAAATATTGCTAGCATCTGCTGCAATCACCGGCTAAGTAATAGTGAAGTTAGACACAGGATATTAGGGAATGATGGTAAATCAGTTGATGCGGTTGTGAGTCTTCATCGACTGAGATCGTTGGACCAAGTGTTGCGTATGCCTGAACACCGGATTACCACGACGCTCAGTGCTGACTAGTGTTAGAAATGGTTGGAAGAAAGTTAGGGGCAGCCAAACCAAAACGTGGCATCAGTGCTTGAAGTCACTAACCTCTAGTCTGTGTCATGTTGGTAGATGCAGACTACTTGGTTGGGGTCCGCGTGACTTTCGTAACCAATGGTTGGAGACTTAGGGTGATACAGCTCAGAATCGATCACAATGGCGTAGGTGTGTACTCTTTCGGTCTTCCTTTAAACCGTGAGATTAAAATCACTTCATATCTTTCTTTCTACGAACTAATTCTTTCTTCCTGTACTATGTCCTTACATGCAATCTTTCTTTTATATATTACCACCATTGAATTAACTACTTTTATGAATCCGGTGTTTATTTTGCTGTGTTAATGAGGTATGGCAACCTGGACCGATGCATATATGTGCCTGATCCTACGTTGTAGCTGACTGACTGACTGAGGCAGTTTTGTTAGAGAGCTGTAAGATTATAAGCAACAAACTCATGCTCCTAGGGTAATGATGTATTGCGGATTTTACTGGAGTGTGGTAGCAGGAAGATGTTACTCTCACACATCATCTGCAGCTATACTGTTTTCTTGAGATTGAAGGGGGTTAGGACATGTCAGCTCCTAGAAATAGCACACCTCACTTTGGCCCGTGGATTTCCATTGCCTACGGGAAGACCTTTAAAATCAAGGCTAACACATTTGAAACCAAGGATACAAAAGTCATGTGTGGCCAGGCTCAAACAGTTGAGTTCTGCGATCAATCTGAAGTCATCAAACCCATTATGAACCCAAATCTCTTTCAAATTCTCTCAAGGTGAAGTATACTTCCACAACGTGAGCGACCTAGAAGTGATAACCACCCCGATACCTCTAGCCTAATGATTGATTTTTATTGTGATAGATAAATTTTGTATCCAATGTTTCGCTTTTTTTTCTTTTTTGAGAAAAGAATATGTTATTTTGTTGCGTTGTTATAGATCTACTAGCATTTATTCAATCTATCATAAAGCTGAATTATACAGATACACCAGATTATTCTCGTCTACGTCAATTATTGTACAATGCAAAATGTTCTTTCAGCAATAAACAATCTACCGTTGTGCCAAGCTATAAATTAACTATGGAATCGGATGAAACAAGTATCAAAGCTTCGCCTTCACGGCGTAAATATAATGTAGATAATTCTTCAAAGGTAGGTAGATATATTTGCAAGTATATTTTTATTGAGAAAAATTATTTAGATAAACTGAAAGTTATTAAATTAAGATTTTTTTTCATCTTAATTCAATATAATATATATTTAGTGTTGAAGCTTCTAGAGGAAGTTTGATTGTCAGATCATGGTAGTGGTTGTCAAAGTAGCAATTGTGGTCACTACGATCTTTTGTTCAAATTGAAATTCCTAAGTTATCGTATTAAAGTCTTTGGGGTTGTCCTACTTCTCAGTGAGATATTGGGTTTCTGAAAATCATCTTTTGCCGTTATCTAAACTTACATATATACCTCTGTCAGTGTTTTCCAGAATTCTTTAAAGAAATTCATTCATTTAAATATATGAATGCCTGTCAACTAGGATCCAACCAATTTAGTTAGTCAGTCATGATTAAAGTAAATTCTAACATAAATATGCGTTAATTGAAGTTAACACACCAAATCATCAAAACAAAATGAATAGCAAAAGAGTTAAAATAATTACAGTATCAGTGATAGTGAGAATGAATAAACTTGAGAATGTCGTTCAAGAAGAAAGAATGAAGAAATGCCGGAACTCAAAATCTAGAGAAAAGTAAAGAACGGATATATTTGACCACAATGACTGGTTATAAACCATATCATTTAACATCAACTACTGTTCGCAGTTATTGTACATATTCTGACTAGGTACTCCGCGCCTACCAATACTGTTCAATCTACCAGTCAGTGATTTAATGAACTGACACCTTATCTTAGTTTAACCGCTGTTAGCTTTCTTCCAACATATTCCTACTCCAACCAACCGTACATGTCGAGGTCGGCTATGGTTGAAGTTGCGTAATATAAGTACGAACCACACAATAATCAGTGAAAAGGAGATAAGTCATTGAAGTAGTGGAGGAGCAGTGAGCATCAAGGGATACAGTTGGAGTTGTAACACAAAACGCCCCTCATTTAGTTTAAAGATAAGTCTTACTAATTATGAAAAATCACAATAGAAACTGTGGCAGAGTCATGGCTAACATGAAATCTGAATTATTTCTAACAATGTGCCAAGCTACTGAATTTGTTCCGTGGATTTTCATCCAGGTATTCATGATGAACCAATAGACACTAGCAAAGCAACTTTCGTTCCATGATTGTCTGTCTTAAACTCAGAACTTTGTCCCAGCATACGAAATAATCCTCGATTGGGGAACCGCTGGGACAATATGCCTAAAATGTCTCCTGATTACCGAGTTTATTGTCCCAGTTATGGTAAGACTTATGAGATAACTGCTTCAACTATCCCCAAACATACATTTGGAGAACTCCAGATTTTTTACACTATGTTACTGGTGAATATAAAGTGTTTTCCATAAAAAAGCGTTTGAAAAGATTTCATATGCTTTGATCTATTCTTATTTCATGCAAATATGTTTGTCACCTAAAAAATCAATTTCAGAGACCCTCTTTTTTCATATTATTCATTGGGAATATACTCGTTTTATTGCTTTATAAAGAATGCAGTAGAAGCAAAGGATAGATTTCATTATTTTGATCATTGTGTATGAACACTTCTGTTACTTATTCCTCAAATTTACTTATTTTATGGTTTTCTTGTGCTATCCTATACTTTTATTTTTGCTATTATACTTTACTATTGAACCTGTCATGATAAATATCCACTTTCTTTCTATATTTCGCTACTACAGATCAATGATTCACGCGCTTTAAATTCAGTGGAGAATTTGGAACTTATTCATACAATTCCAAAAACTCCAGATAGTTTACCAAGTAAACGACCCCGAGGTCGTCCACCCGGTCGTTCCAAACAGTTAGAGAATATATCACCAGCTGTTACTTCTTCGTCTGAAGTAGTAGACTCTCTAAAACACTCTAAAATATCTGAGATTGATGCGAAACCAAAGTAAGTGTAAAGATCAAATCTTTATTATTATTATTATTATTATTATTATTATTATTATTATTATTATTATTATTATTATTATTATTATCGACACCAATCATCTACTTAGTAACAATAGTTTCGGAAGGTAATTGTCGGAGTGCAAGTGTGAAGCTGTAACTAGTGGAGTTCAATCATGTGAGTCAGTTCTCCACTAATGGAATTGATCGATGGTTGCTAAATGTGGCGAATTAGTTGTAGTTGGAATTGCTAACCACTTGGTTTCGACTTAGTGGTCCGAATGTCAGGCACTTAGCATAAAACTCGAAGGTCTTGGGCTCGACCCTTGGTGGGATCGTGGTTTCCTACTGCTAGGGAGTCTTATACTAGGACAACGCATCTGTTCAACATTTCTTGGTTTTCAATGGCTGTGTAAAATATATAGTTTAGTTTCATCAGGTGTTAGTCATTCCATGTGTTTATACTTCTATAACACATCTAATTGACTTCACATAGATGATTTTTGACTTGTTGAAGAACTACTCTTTTCAGTGGCTGATAATAACTGTTGTAGTACGTTCAACACTTCACATATGCCCAAACAATTTCTAGGTTACCTAGTAGTTTTAGATTTTTTTTCATGTAACCAGATTGATATCTGTAAGCCTGCTTGACTTTCATTTCAGAATTATAAGAATATATTTTGAATATAAGTTTTATATTAGACCCAAATCAATTAGATGGGTACTTTGATTTGAACGCTCACTTGTGGTGTTTGAATTCTCAGTTATTTTCACAGTTGAATCACCAAACAGTCAAGTCCCAGCTCGCCCAATATTTTAATTATATTTATAGGTTATAGGTTATTTGATAGTCAGCTTAATTGGTTCAGTAGCCTAACTTTAGTGTGTACCATTATCATCAGTGAATATCTCTTATTACTTCTAAATCATCTTGGAGGTGTTTTGTTCTTTGATTTGAATTGTTTAATCTTAGAGGCGATGTATTCATCGTCATCATCAAAAGTGATCACCTAGAAGTATTTTACAGTTTGGTCAGTGGTATCTTCAACGACATAAAATCCACATTGATGATAAAATCACACAATAAACTACCATTATCGGATGTGATCGATCACCAAAACGAATTCGCGAATGCTTGAGACTGGTGTCGAAAATCAAAATATATTAATGAAATCCTTTACTACAACAACCAAGTATTGACTCAAGAAATTTCACATCAGAAAAAACATAATTAAACCAGATAGCTCAGATAACACGAAACACCTTTATGATCCTCAACCCGTTTACTTTATTTTATTTGAACACAAATATTAGTACAAGGGGCCACCATATATATGTGCCACACAAAACAATGAGACTGGGAAGAGAAAAAAGGTAATGTGCGTATAAGAAAAAAGAGAACAATAACGACCACAGATTAGTGTAAGGTAGTGTAATAATAATAATAATAATAATAATAATAATAATAATAATAATAATAATAATGGGGGAAATGGAAAGGTACGACCGGAAGAATTCTTTCAGTTAAGGAAGATACAACCACTTTTTGTGAAGAAAGTAAAAGTAGGTTGCAGCAGGATCGCCACTGGCTTCTACTCTGAGCCATATCTGATAACGTCTATAGCCAATGTTGCACCATCTCTCGGACCCCAGCCAGGGAGTCGTGAAGGACCAACAGAAGCCAGCCCTTTGGAGCTTTCCTTCATACCACGACACCGTGTCATACACTGACCACCTCTCCGCTTTCTCCAGCCAGTCCCAGCGTCGGCAAATAATGCACGACGTGGAATTCTCTCGGCGACATTCGTAGAACATGTTCAAGCCAACTTCTCCAATGGACCATCCCAGAGAATAGTCGTGTCCAATAAATCGAAGGCAGCCCTAATGTCAAGAAACACTACGATTGTTGGCCTGTGATAAGTATGACGGTGTTCTGAAATTTGGTGGAGGGTGAAGATATGATCAATACATCCTCGACCAGAACGAAAACCATCCTGCTCCTCGCGAGTCAATCTTTCTCGGGTTTTGAACAACCTACGAAGTATGACGGAAGCCAATAGCTTGGACGCAATCGGAAGTAGACTTATCCCCCGATAGTTGTTACAGGAACGACGTGAACCCTTTTTAAAGATAGGGACAACTATCGACTCATTCCATGACGTTGGTACACTCTCTAGTTCCCAAACCTTTGTAAACAACGTCGTCAATTCCTTAGTCAGAAAGTCACCACCATCTTTAAAAAGAGCCGGAGGTAAGTCATCTGGGTCAGGTGATTTGTAACGCTTCAAGAGTTGGAGTTCCTTGCGAACTTCCTCCTCATTTGGTGGATCAGTCGTCACCGGCCATGGAGGGCAGGATAGTCTGACCGATGTTGCCGGAGCAGCAGGCCAGTTGAACTGTCCTTCGAAAAATTCTGCCCATCGTCCAAGACGTCGATGGATGTTAGTGATTGGCATCCCATCATCCTCGCAGATTGTTTCACTCACACCAGACTTCTTGCTGCCAGTGGCTCGGATGAGTTGGAAGAGCTTCCGGTAATTACCAGATGCAGCTGCTGCTTCCAGCTCATTAGCACGCTTCGACCACCAGGCTTCTCGGTCCTTACGCAAGCTTTGCCCAATTTCAGTACGTAACATCCTTCGTTTATGGTCAAACTCACGGTCACCCGGAGTAGACCGACGGGCTTCGATGAGTTGTAAGGAGCCTGAAGAAACCCAGTGCTTGTAGGCGGGACGTTTCGCGGAGCCGCACGCGGCTTTACTCGTCATTTTGATGGGGTCATGCAGTTGCAACCAATGCTCATCTATACTTTTCGGTGGAATGGTAGCTAGCCTAGAAGCTAGCTCAGTTCTATACTTACTCGCAACAGAAGTTGCAAGCAATTTGCTGACATCAATCCTTTGGTTGCGGTCACTTTGTTGGCCACCGAAAATTAAGGTAAGATTGGCACAGACCAAGACATGGTCAGAGTCCAGATAGGTACTCCAAAAGGAGCGGCAGTCTTGTACACAACCACACCAGCGGTAGCTGATCGCGATGTGATCAATCTGAGTCCAGGCTTGGGATGCAGAGGGAGGACGCCAGGTGGCACATCGGCGATGACTGTGTCGAAAGTTAGTGCTAGCCAGAAATAGGTTGTGGTCTGTACACAGTTGCAGTAGACGTTCCACGTTATCTGACTTGCGACCAACGAGTCCCCATCGGCCACCTAAACGACTCTCTTCTGTGCCTAGACGCCCGACCTGAGCATTCAAATCTCCGGCTAGTACTACAATATCTGTCGAACGCACTTTCTGTAGAAGAACAGATAACTGGTGGTAAAACTCATCCTTGATCGCATCCGGGCTGCAATCTGTCGGGGCATAGGCGGAAATGACGAAAAGACATCGTTTCTCACGCGGATTTCTTCTCAATTTGATGGAACTTTCTAATCTAACAGCACATAACCGACTGTTAATGGGGATCCAATCGATTAGTGCTGCTTCAACTCAAGCGCTCAGTGCGGCACCAACGCCAGCAAGACCAGGCGAAGATTCCACAGGGTCCCCGGATAAACACATTTAAAACAAGCTTTTCGAAGCGACAGATGGAGAGCAAATTTGTAGTACTTCACCAGAGTCTTGAATACGGGTCTCAGATAGACAACAAACATCGATATTAAGACTTTCCTATCTTTAAAACAATTAGTCCATTTGATAAATTTCGGTAATCTTCGTCTTCTAATATCAGTATCGTAACTTTCCTATCTGTTGTCCGACCTGCATAAGTGTGCGAACGTTGAAGGCAGCCAGTTTGAATGGTGCCCGTAGTTTCAGAAAAACTGCTTCAGTATTCGTATTTGGTGGTAGCATATAATTTTCAACCAGGCAGTGACTTGAGATCGTTTAGATAGAACCGAGTTTCCACCATGGGTGAGCTGCTGTATAAGTTGAAAAATAAGGATAAACAGATTGCGAATACAAGAGTGAATAAATGACGTCGTAAATAATAATAATAATAATAATAATAATAATAATAATAATAATAATAATAATGTGAATTGTTTGACTGTTGATCGAAGCGTAAGTAGAATTTTCAGTAAATATCGTCATTTTCATTTTTTTGTGTATGGGCTGTTATACTGCCCGGGTCCCCAGACCGAAGCAGGTGGGGGGGAGGCAACCTGTTGTACTACAGATAATCTGGACCGTCGTTAAGTTATAACTGCCATTTAAATGATTCGAAGAATCCCCTGTTTTAGATGTTCCTAAATTTCTAGTAATAAGTACTATACGCTAAACTTCTAACATATCAGTGGCGAAACAGTTGTCATCAATGAGATTGGAGTAATCGTCGTGCTGTCCCATAAATACCCAACCGTTCATCTGGATTTAATCACTGGTTGGGTCGTGGTTGCATACTGCTGAGGAGCATCATACTATGAAGGAACAGTTGTTCAATGCTCCTGTTTTTTTAAATAATACTTCATTTGAGATCAATCTATGACAAACAATCTGCAAATTCAATCAATCTCCACACGATTCCTTCAATTAAATCTCTTATGATCATTATGTTGTTCATAATAGTCCTAGTTGATGAAATCAATGAACTTATGAGTATTTTAAATCCAAATTAATGTTGTTCAAGAGGTTTTCAAACTTATAAACCATTATGAAATAATTTAAGGATATGCATTCTAAGGTCTGACTGTCACTAACCTGAGGAATTTCAAGTTCCTTAACTGTTGGGAGCCCTCAAGAGTGTTCCGGAAAGATTTCTAAAAGCTACAAACGCTTCGTTCAATCATCGTCGAATGAAAAAGGCAAATTATGCGCTATATCCTGTTTTAACAATTTCCTATTTTAGCATAGTTCCAGGAGCTTCCAAAATGTCAAGACCATACAAACTAATAAATGTCAGTGTAGATTACTTTAAAAGGAGAGTCATTTGGAGCGATCTAATAATCTAGTAATCTACAAATGTCAGTGTTTTCAGTACTTAAACTAACTTTAGAAGTAATGTTTCTTTTCATACTTTCTCCCTTTTATTTCCCGTTTGAGTTCCAAGTCTTAGAGGTTTCTATGGAACTAGGGTGTACCAAACCTATTGTTAACAAGCACCATTCTTAAGTTATGGTAATGACTGTGTTGATGACTGATCTTCAAGTGAAGTTGATGATTATATAAGAGTGGTGGGTTGACGGTCACACTACTTAACTTCCAACTAATTGGTTGCATGTTCAAGTCCCTTTCCATCTTTAATGTCTCAAGGTCAAGTTTATAAACTTGTTAGTAATTAAGTTATATTTTATTCTAATAATATTGTATTTCACTGTTCAACGATTCCTAATTGTTTTTCATATCATTATCAGTTCATAAATAGATAGATCTGTCTCTTTAAGATTAATGTACAATTTAAAACTGCCAACCTAAATTTGTAAGAATATAAAGTGAAATTTCCGTCATATTAATAAGCTAAAATTATTATATCCTAAATGTTGTATTAGTTATTGTTTTTTTCGCTTAAATTTCTCATTCTACAATTATTCAGCTCTAAAAGAACTAATGTGAAAACGTTGAATTCTCGATCGATATGTTTAAATTCACCAACTAAAGCATCTACTCCTGATGGTGGTGGACTTATGTCGACGGTATCCGGTAATAGATTTTTGAGTCCTAGTAGTACTAGTTGTAGTAAACATGGTAATTCTGCAGTTCAACAACGTGTCCGAACTCGACTTATTGATTTGTTTTCAGACAGTGATAATGATGAGTCATTTGTTAGTCAACATAACTTGTCTAAATCTCGTAAAGATACATTGAAATCAGCGCCTAAACTTCAATCACCGAAGCAATCATCACCGTTTGTCAAACAATCACAACAACAGAAACGTCAACCACTAACAAGTTCTACTTCAAAGCAATCCCTGCTTAAATCCCCAGAGTTTACGTCTTTAACCGCTGATCGTAGACGTTCCGGTTGGTGTCAAACATCACCAGAACTGTTAGCTGTCGCCAAAGCTGAAGCATTAGGTCGTAAGGCTTTGAAACTTGCAGAAATGAATTTCAATTGAACCTGTCTCATATACATATATACCTGTTTGTGGATGTATATTTATGTCTTTGGTGTATCAATGCATTTCCTTTGATCAAAATGCTGTGGATATTTATGTTTCTTTGTGAAGATATTTTTTGTTCGATGTATTATTTTATTCATATCACCATATTTTTTCAATTTGTTGGAAGAGGCTGTGGTAGATCTTTATTTTTTTAAATATCTGAAAAAGTTTTATATATGATGCTTCAGTTTTGTCACTTATTCATCGAAAAATACTTTTTCCCCCGTTTCTTTCCACCTTAATTTGTTTATTATATTATCGGGATGTATGGTTGCCCTAATAAGGAGACATTTGATCATCAATATCTTCGAAGTATTGAGGTAAAGCTACCGAACGTGTGGTTGTAAGGTACAAAGTTCTTGGCAAGGAAAGCTATTCAATCGTTAATGTCATGAACCTTCACTACGCTGTTTCATTTCGTCAAGGGACAATAGCTAAATTACTACTAGAAAGTAATAGCGTCATGGTTGTGTGGATCCAAGTGTGACATCAATTTACGTTGTCACTGACTGTTGTTTTGATGCACATAAGGAAGTGTAATTTACTTAAGTGGTTGGTTAAATACCTCCAAGTAACGACGGATCCGAAACTGGGATATCCCTACTATATTCTAGATTTTATTTTCTTTCTTTAGATTTGTTTTTACCATATGTATTTTTTCTTTTGTGTTGCAAATCGTAGCAACTGCCGACATACTTTGATATCATTAGTTGTTATATTCAATAAAGCGATAACTATATGTTTTAGCTTAATGATCAACCTGAATTTTTCGACAGTTTTGTTGCTAATGAATGGTGAAAGAATAAATGCGATTTTAAGTTGGACACATTTATTCGTGTGTAAAACAGATGAAAGATCCTAAGTGTATAACTGAAAAAATGTATGCGTCTACCTATTTTGTTGTTACGTTCTTTTCTACTCAAGTACTTTTCTAGTAGTTTAAAATGTAAACCTAAAATTATTGTCAAGTTTACTCAGTAATGTTGAATTTTTTCTGTAGTAAATGTTACTCAGAAAGCAGTGTCTTCCGTAATAGTTGAGAATATGTACACGCATTCATTCATACCATATAACTAACGTGTTGAGGCGGATAATAAATGTTCTGTCAAACTATTTTGCAAAAGATATCTGGTGTTTAATGTCAAGGATCATTCTAACATGATGTTATCACTGAGAACCAGGATGGACGGGATAGCTGTTTCATCCTAATGTTGGATTCTTCAGCAACACACATATAGAACCTAGTCAGGGATCGGACTAAGAAGCTTCATGTTTCTGAGTCTTAATCCAATTATTTATATTTCTAACTTCATTCAATAATACTGATAATGTTTTATCTTAACACTTTAATTGTCAGATGGAATTTTAATTGCTAAATTGAATTCAACATATGAAATAAAAGAACATAAAATGTCTTGCATACTAGATAATTCATACTTAAGTCTCTGTAGAAATTTGAACATTTGTAGCTGATATAAGCTAAAGCAAGACAGTGGAAGATATGTACATAACATAATCATTACAAATGAAAAAATCAAGCTATTGTTTTCCATCGAGAAAGATCAACATTGAACGCAGTGCAGTAGTACAGTCTGATAAAATAAAACGAAGGATAAAGTAGTCAAGCTCCAGTTTCATTAGTCGGTGTTGAATTGTTAAGGATTGATTTAAAATCAAATGACTTAATTGCTTGGACCCACGTGGAGTGAGTTGGTAGATAAACATTCACTGAACGGTAGCTATAATTCTGTTAGGTATTTCTGAGGTCTACAGTAATTAAAAACAGTTGGATTGTCGTTTTAGTAAGGAGTTGGATATTCATTAAGTCAATAGACCGGGCGACTGATACATTAATTCAACAATAATCCGCCGAGTAGTGGAAGTAACGAACTCGGAGCAGGATACCCTATTTACAAATTCAAAACTGTAACGAAACAACTGTACATATAGCGACAATTTTAGCAAAGTAAGAGTGAGTGGTTAAAGTTTTACTAAAATGGTCGAATCCAACTGTACGACTTCTGATTGCTAGTCCTAAATCATGAAGATAAAAACGGTATATCGACGGGCCAATTAGGATCACGAAAATGACCGGATATTTTTAATGAGATTAAGAAATGAATCATACTTGTTTCGACCATGTGAGATGAGCACTACAAATATATTTGTATAGTCCTCAGAACGTTCCAATTAATAGCGTCAGTCAGTCAGCTACAACGTAGGATCAGGCACATATATGCATCGGTCCAGGTTGCCATACCTCATTAACACAGCAAAATAAACACCGGATTCATAAAAGTAGTTAATTCAATGGTGGTAATATATAAAAGAAAGATTGCATGTAAGGACATAGTACAGGAAGAAAGAATTAGTTCGTAGAAAGAAAGATATGAAGTGATTTTAATCTCACGGTTTAAAGGAAGACCGAAAGAGTACACACCTACGCCATTGTGATCGATTCTGAGCTGTATCACCCTAAGTCTCCAACCATTGGTTACGAAAGTCACGCGGACCCCAACCAAGTTAGTCTGCATCTACCAACATGACACAGACTAGAGGTTAGTGACTTCAAGCACTGATGCCACGTTTTGGTTTGGCTGCCCCTAACTTTCTTCCAACCATTTCTAACACTAGTCAGCACTGAGCGTCATGGTAATCCGGTGTTCAGGCATACGCAACACTTGGTCCAACGATCTCAGTCGATGAAGACTCACAACCGCATCAACTGATTTACCATCATTCCCTAATATCCTGTGTCTAACTTCACTATTACTTAGCCGGTGATTGCAGCAGATGCTAGCAATATTTCTAAGGCATCTGTGGTCAAATACTAGTAGCTTACGAGTATCTTCGGCTCTTAATGACCATGTTTCGCAGCCGTAAGGTAAAACAGAACGAACTGCCGTGCAGTATACTCGTCCTTTTATTGATAGACGGATATCTCACCTTTGCCAGAAGTGACGTAAGTTGGCGAAAGCCGAACGAGTTTTTCGAGGCCATGCTAAGATTTCGTCAGACACCAACCCATTGGGGCTGATCAGACTTCCAAGATAAGTGAAGTTGCCAACGCGTTCGACTACTTCACTCCCTATCCTTAGTTCAGGTGTTGACGCAGACCAGTCCTGAAACAACAACTTGCATTTAGAGGGAGAGAAGGGCATCCCAAACATTCTGGCATTGTTGCTCAGTGCTACCAAAAGACTCTGCATTTTGTCAGCCTCTTCACCAAACAGGACTATGTCATCTGCGTATTCTAAGTCGATAAGTGGACCTCCTGGTAGGAGATCAATACCTAAGAACTCAGTCGACGAGAAAGATTTCCATCAGTAGATCTATGATGAAGTTAAACAGAAATGGAGATAGTGGACATCCTTGACGGACACCATTTGAGGTTGCAAAAGCAGATGACAGTTCGCCATAAGCTCTGACTCGACTAGTATTGTTAGAGTAAAGAACCTTCACAAGGTTTATGAACTTCTGTGGTACGCCTTTCAATGACAGACACTACCACAGAATCTCGCGGTCTACAGAGTCAAATGCTGCTTTTAGGTCGAGAAAGACCACCATTGTCGGACGCCGATAAGCATGCCTGTGTTCTAGAATCTGACGAATGGTGAATATGTAGTCGATGCAGCCACGACCAGTTCTGAAGCCAGCTTGAGTCTCTCGTGTTTGCAGTTCACGAGTCTTAGTTATGCATCCGATAATTATCGAAGCTAGTATTTTAGATGCTATATTAGTTAAACTAATCCCTCCATGGTTGTCACAGGATGATTTTGACCCTCTCTTATACATTGGGACGATAAGTGATTGTGACCAGTTAGATGGGATAACGTCCAACTCCCAGATTCTAGCTAAAATTGGACCATCATCCTCAACGATCTCTGGAGCCAATCCATCTGGACCAGCTGCCCTTCCTCGTTTCAGAATAACTATAGACTTTTTAATTTCAGATAGAGTCGGGTGACCTACTACCTAATATCGAGTCATAGATTAAAAAGGAGTTAAACGGATCAAGTATTTAATTATTTATATGGACAATGGATATAGCACGTAAATTAACCATATTCCTAAAAGCTTTATCCTAACGGGTCAATATCGGAATTTCTAATGTGCTCTTGTTCTTATAAGTGTTTAGAAAGATGCTTTGTTATATTTCTTTTTACCGTAAATTTTTTATTTACAATATCTGTTTTCTGATTGGCCAACCACAGTCTAGAGGCAATTGTTGTAATTCAAACTTGTCCCTATATTGTGATGAGTTCAGGATGGAAATCATTCAAGTCTTCGATTTTGATGTATTAATCTACAATTTACCTATGGTTGTTTTGAATCAACTTTTTTGTAATACCCTAAACAAGGAAAGAACGATAAGGTATTATTTATACTTATAAACAAATCCTTTCAATTTCACTTTATAAAATATTCAATCAGTTTTCTTCACTCTTTTAATCCAGGAAAATATCTATAACCTAATGAACCTGGACAAGCAAAATTCATTTTAATATTAATACAAAAATAAAGAAAATAAAATATTGTAACCATATATTGACTACAAACTATAATTATACAGAACAATAATTATATGTGGATGTTTAAGTCTTTCATATAGGTACATGTATTTGTTGTAAACTTCTCTATGATCGTTTTAGCGATTGATCTACTTTGTTTGGTGATGTTGATGATTCTTTTATTGCATTATTTAATAATGTCAAGTAATCAGATGATCGTAAGAAACGTGCATAAGAATCAGTTCTTACTAGATTGTAGATATGTTCTTGTGCCAAATCAAAACAAAATGGATTAGGATTCTGTCAATTTTTTAGGAAAATAAAAAGTGAATTCTTTAACATAAGACAAGTTGAATGGAATCATATAATGTAAAATGGTAAGAAATGTTAACAATGAATGTCATGTTAATAAATTTCTGTAATGTACATACTAATATATTTGCACTTTGTCTGACAGCGAAATCACCATGTACAGATACGCTTTGGTAGTTCACTTGTTGTTTATTATCTTGGAATGCTAGCTTCAGTTGATTGGATATGTTTTCTGATTATCTTTTGAGTGACTTACATGTCGTACATTATTTTTCAATGGTTGAAATAGGTAGAAAAGGAGTAGAGGCTATCAGCCTTTGACATGGCTTCATGGTGCTAAATAAATCTATATAGAATTAATATTTTTCAATCCATCACAACTTCCTGACTGAAGTCTTTGAATTGATGTAACTCATTGGATTGAGACGTTATCAGACATGACTAAATATTAAAACAAGTGGTGATCCTATTGTAGTTTTCTTTTACGTTCTTCATAAAGTGAAAGGAAGCTTTTTTTATCTAGAAAAAATTAACATTTGATTGTATTTTTGTCTGAACTGTATCTCCTCTTATACACCTACATAATTATGTTTTTGATTATACTCTTCACTTCTTTATTTCTTTATCATATATTATCTAGTTTGTGTAGAGCATAGTATTTTCAATGGACAGTTGTATTAGAATGAAGTAAAATAAACTGGAATTAAGTACATGTGTTTCATTCAACTTCAGATTCAACAACTTCTATGAAATGTTTATTGTTATAGAATTAATTCACTCACGTTTCCTAACATATTATCTTTTTGTTAATGAACATCTCAATAAGTTACTTCTTATTGTTAATGATATTATCCTGTTAGGAAGTTATAAATGAGGTGAACATTCTAGCTAGTTTTTATTGTGGTCTGTTAACTAGCATTAATAATATTATTATAACACACACGATAGGTGCTTGTATAGATTTAATGAATGACATTCATAAATAATTAGCTACGAAATTTATGCTTATCAGCGCATAGAGTTCGTAGATAAAAGACAGTTATTGAGTTACTTGGTTTAACCTGATT